TGCTTCCATCCTAAAATCAGATGCTTGAAACAGGGGTCCAGGGAGCTGAAGTTTTGTGCACACAGCTATTTCAGAGGCTGTGCTCATGACCATTTGGCTAGTGACAAAGGACTTGTCTGCATAGGGAAATTGATTGGAACAGCTACTGCAGAATAAGATGTTCCAAAACAACTGTTCTGGAATAGCATCTTTTATCGGCATTCTGATTCCAGAACAAGACTGCTTCTTTCTGATTTTATCTGCTTAAGCCAAATAGTAAAATGGTGTTCTTGTTCTGGAATAAAAATGTCTCCCAGGGAACTCTTCGGCAATAGGTTTTCAGATTCATTGTCCCATGTAGGCATAAATGGCCACTGCACAGGATGAGAAGGGCAGCCTGACTTGCTATAAATCTGGATAAGATACCTCCCTGCCTACCTTTCCCTTTAAACTCTTCAGGACAAGAACCATCTCTCTTATTTCTTACTGTATTGAAGTACTATGCCTAAAACAATGGGGCCCTGAGCAAAAATCATTCATATTAATACTAGCTCCTCCTCCTTCCAGGGATCTGAAGCATGCATATGCCTAAAATTCCAGTAGCATAGAGGAAGTGATTATGGTGGCAGCCGGTGCTGAAAACAGGATATGTTCAAGGCATGTCTCGTAAGACAAAACTTGCAATATTTATTGCAAAACCAGACCAGCACCTTTTTTCTAGACTTTGGGGACTTTCTTGCCCACTTCTGAGGGAAAGTTCTGGTCATTATTCACATACAAACTATTTGTTTTCTTTTTGCAGAACAGAGTGAAATGACTGCATGGTTTATTTTAGAACCAAGAAGTAGCTTTTGTGATTATCCTGCAAAAATCTCACTTCCCAGTTTCCATGTGAGTGAACCACCTTGGAGGCGAAAAGCACACCTTTCTTCCAGGCATTCACATGAATCTTAGAACTGGCAGTATGATTTAGTAATAATATGAGTGTTTTTCCCTTGGAACCTGCTTAGGGCAATAAGGGATGAGGAGTTGGGAAGTAGATGGGGAACACAGCTAGAGCTTTGGTACCACCCCTCTATGTCCTAAGTCAGCAAGAATGAACCACTCTGGAGGATTGTTATCTGCTGTTAGCCACGTGCACTAGCAGAACACTTTATTCTGGCATCAAGGTAGGAGCCAAAGAGAGAACTGCAAGTCATAGGGCACATCTATACGAGATGCTAACTACACAGTAGTCTAATACTGCACAGTAGTGCATCACAGCATGGCCAGTGCTAATATACTACTGAGCAGTATTATTAGGCTACTGTGCAGTAACATCACTAAAAAGGTGTTTGCTGGTGCTACTGAACAGTAATTCTGGTTATTGTGCATTTATTTAGTACTTGATTATACAAGTACTAAATTAAATGCACAGTAACCACTGTGCTTTAATGAACATGTAGAAGTGCCCGTAGTGTAGTGTAGTGCCTGGCCTGCTCTTGCGTTTGCATAGCTGTAGATGGGGCTGCCTAGGTAACAATCTAATGCAAATAATCTAGTTTAACTACTGACTGCTGACCGTGGGCAACTGGTGCCTCCTGACTCTGAGGAGTCCCCCTGCCAGCCAAGCGCCGCCAAAAAAAACAGAAGTGCCGCCGGTGCTTCTTGGGGGGGGGCACCAGCTAGTGCTCCCCACTCTCCGGCCAGCTAGGGCCAATTTCAGGGGGGGCATGTGTCCTACGCATTGCCTATGTCACTGACTTTCCTTTATTTAACCAGTTTGATACTGCGTTTCAACTTCCTCTTCAAATTCCGGAAAACAAAGCACAATTCTTCTCTGTTTACCTCTTTTCAATGGTCTCTCCTGGGAAACAGCCAAAGAAGATTAAGCAAAGGTTCTCCTATGTTGCCATGAGTCAGCCTGGCTACTTGTTGGCCCAAGCAGGGCATCAGCCATGTTCTATGTCAGCAGAGCAACCATTTTCCATGCTGATAGAAGTGGAAGGTGACAGAACTGTTTGACACCTAGAAGGTCTACCAGGTCTGCCAGGTAACATGCTGCTGCATCGGGCATTTCATTTTAGAAGTTTAAAATGAACAATGAATGTATTTTTTTTCTAGAGAGATCAGCTCCCACCTGGGCAACCACATGTGGTGGTCAGGCTTTTCCAAATATGTGCAGTTGCCAGCAAACCTCCCTGCAAACCTCCCTTTATAAATCTGTGGTGTATCAACACCTTGAATACTGTGCGCCATTTTGGTCCTCCCCTCCCCCAACCTCAGAAGGGGTACAGAAGAACTAGAAACTGTACTAGAAACTAGAAAAGGGCAACAAAGGTGATTAGGCATATGGAGGGGCTTCCATATGAGGAGAGACTAAATAGGCTTGGATTTTTCAGCTTAGAAAAAGAGGTACTTGGAGTGGGTGTGATAAAGGTTTACAAAATACTGAATGGCACAGAGAAAGTAAATCGAAACATTTGCTATCTCCCAGAATACTAGAACTAAGGGACATAACATGAGACTATTAGATAGTAATTCAGTGGGATTTAACTGCTTGCCTGGCTTCCTTTAAATCACTACCCCAAAAATGCTGTCCAATTGCCAAGTTCTTGTAAATCTAGCAAAGCACAACAACTAATTCCTTGGAACGACAAGTGACAAAACAGGAACAGGAGTGACTGGGAGGTTAATAACCAAGATACTAAAGGAAGACACTGAGCAGATGCTCAAAGACATCCAAGGAGCCATTCAACACTTCCTAGTAAAACTGTGCTTGGAGACATGCACAGACAAGGGCCAGAAAGATAGCTGTGCAGTTACCTGGGTCCTCTTTAGGTAGCTTGTGCTTCCTGGTTAGGTAATTGGACAGCTTGGTACAGGCCAGGAGGAGATAGACCAGAAGGTCCCTGAGTTTCATGGGGCTATGGATGCAGTGTTTATAAATTAAAAGGTGTGAAGGAAAGTGCAGTCAGAACCTCAAAAGGAGGTTCTTGAGGAGGTCAGATAGGGCATGCAGGTGCAGGGTCCCTCTTTGCTGCAGAAGATGCAGATGTTGGGGGAGTATGTGACCTGTGCCCTGCATATTCTGGGGCTGAGGACTCTGTGCAGGAGCTGCCCAACTATAACCCCAGTTACCCCTGGGGCTAAGGTGGAGGACAAGCTAGTCGACCAAGGCTCCCTGTCCTGCCATTTGGTATCTGGGTGGACACAAAGGCATGGTAGTGAATGGTGTACAACACAGGTATTTACAGGAAACAATGAGGCACCATCTGGAAACAGACAGGTTTGATGTCCTCTGATGGTACAGGGAGAGTGCCTGGGGGCGATGTAGGGGGAGGGGGAAGTGATGAGGCCAGAGGGCTGGGGGTTATGGGCAGGTAGAGGCTGCACTCTCATAGGCTGTTCAATATATACAAGGGATGTTGGTGGTAGGGCAGCGTTGACTGACTAGGGTATGCAGTAGGGAGCACCCAGGTAGATAGCTCCATGTGCTGGGCAAGTTCAGAGGAATCTGGTCACCCCTCACCTGACAAAGACTAGGAGGTCTCCAATATGAGTGGTCTTGGCCAGGTCCAGTGTGTGAGTTGGGATTCTGGGCTAGATGGACCTATGATCTGACCCAATAAATAGCAATCCTTATTTTCTCATGTAGGCTTTCATGAAAATCTCCGCCCCTCCCCAACTCATCTCCAGCTTGTTGGAATTTAAGATAGGAGATGCTATACCAAATCAAATGGTTTGTTTAGGGTCAAACTGGTTGGATTCTGCTGCTTTAGAGCAGTGGTTCTAAACCTTTTTTTGTACCAGGACCCATTTGTAAACATGGATGACCAGTCCTGACCCACAGGGGCCCTGCCAGTGCCCCTCACTCCTGACTCACAGCTCCCTGACCCTGCTGATGCCCCTCACTCCGAAGCCACAGACCCCAAGTCCTGTCGGTGCCCCTCACTCCCGACCCACAGTCCCCTGCCCCCTAGGCCATGGTGGTGCCCCTCATACCCAACCCACAGCCCCCTGCTCTCCTCAGCCCTGCTGGAGGGGATCCCTGTGTGGCTCGGGCTGGAGCACAGTGGCTGCAGTGGCTCCGGATCATGTGGGCAGCAGTGAAGGGAGTCCAGCCATGGCATGGGCTGGAAGGAGGAGGAGGGGAGGCCTGTGGCACCCCACCTACCCTGGACCGCCCTGCCCCTTCCCCCACTGGATGGGCAGGTGCCTTCCCTCCACCCCCCTCACCCCTGCCCTGACACAGCCTCACCACACCTACCCTGGACCGAGGCTCCTGTTCTGTGCTAGGTAGCCTGGTCACAGCCCCATCCACCCTACAAGCAGCATGTCCTGGCCACCCAACCCCTGCGAGTATGGGCACCAGCCCTGGTGCTTACCCTGGACCGAGGCTCCTGTTCTGTGCTAGGTAGCCTGGTCACAGCCCCATCCACCCTACAAGCAGCATGTCCTGGCCACCCAACCCCTGCGAGTATGGGCACCAGCCCTGGTGCTGCCTCCACCCCCCTCACCCCTGCCCTGACACAGCCTTGGCGCCGGGTCATCTTTCTGCAGTGCCAGCAGGCACCCCCCCCACACACACACACACACCCACACCCATAGAGTCCCCAAGCCCTGAACCTCCAACCCCCACTCCCCATACACTTACCTGCATCCAACTGCAGGGGCTGCTCCCATAACCCTGCCTGGCTGCATGCCAGCCACAAGCGTGTGCAGCCAGATGCACATGTGCCCGCTGCTTCCAACTGCCCCAAGCAGCTCTTTGCAGGCTGGAATGCTGCCAGCCTGCAAGGGGAACCCTATGCTTTCCTGTGTTTTTCTGGGACTTGCTCACAACCCTCACAACCCTTTCAAATATTCTCGTGACCCACAGGTTGAGAAACACTGCTTTAGAGCAGGGGTAGCCAACCTGTAGCATGCATGCCACAAGTGGTATGGACAGCCTGTGTGTGTGGTACACAACAGACTGGGGAGGAGATGGGGAGCAAAAAGCAAAGCAGCAGATCAGACAGGGAGCAAGCACAGGGCAGGGAGCAGAAAGCAGAGCAGATTAGGCAGGGAAAGGCGATTGGAGTGGCACTTGGAGAGGGTGCAGCACTTAATATGTGGCATGTCTGCCAAAAAGGTTGGCCCTCATTATTTTAGTGGAAGAGGAAACCTGTACAATACAACTGGTGTGGAGTTATATATTAGCTCAATAAAGAATTCAGAGACTCCTCAATTTTTCCAGTTTTATTAAATTCTAGCAGAGTATGCAGGCTCTAATACAATTTTGGGGGTTAATTCAGCGGGATTTAACTGCTTGCCTGGCTTGCTTGAAATCACCACCCCAAAAATACTATCTAGTTGCCAAGCTCTTCTAAATCTAGCAAAGCAGGTTAGCCATTAGGGTTTCTAGTCCCTCATCCTGCAATTGCATCTTTTGTGAGCTTGCCTAGTGCTGGAGGCTAAGTGTACTGAGGTTCTGCCCACATTAGATGCATTTTTAGGATCAGGGCACTTGTCACATTTGCCAGCTACTTGTGTAGGCACAAACTCAAAGTCACAGCTTATTGATAATTAATGGTGAGTGCCTGAAGTAAGGACCTATAGCCACAACTGCTGCACTTTAATTTTATCAGTAAACATTTACTTAGCAAGTGCCCTTCAATCCTAAAGTTCCACGTATAGTTTATGTAAAGGAGCACTCGCTCCAGACACACAGTCAGTTGTAGGTTGGATTTCTAAGCTTAGTGACTTGGCCTAGTGCACTCATGCAAGGTACAATTGAATAGTATTAATCTAGATTGCAGCCTTACATTACAAGCCAGTTTCAGAAAGCCTGGACTGTGCCCTCTACCCCACTTGTCCTCCATTGTGTGACCACGTAAAGGCTTTCCTGAATCTCACGTCTTCTCCACTTACAGGAATGCAGGGATTTGTTCCAGTTACTTCTCCTTGGAAACAAATTAGTAAAGTGGAGCTTGGAGTAGTAGCACCATAAGCCTGCCTAGTGAGGCACCAATACAGGAAAGAATATGCTGCCTCTTGAAGATGAAATGGTCTGTGTATTTCTTCCCCCTCCCTTTCCAAACACAAGCGCAGTCCTGAGAGAAAATTCCAGTGGGGTAACGTAGAAGCCCCTTAATTGTGTCACTGGGGAGCTGATGGATATGCATAGTGAATTTGATATGTATGCAAATAAAATTCCTCTGGAAGGACGCAGCATCATTTGGCTGATGGCCTTATAAAAGCAAAAGAGCTGGAAACAACTTTACATTAAAGCTGTGCTTATAACGACATATGAATAGCTGATAAGCTGAAATTGGGATAGTGCTCCATAGATAGCACTCTCTGTAAGAGTAGTTTCAAGTGGAAACTTATATCTTTTCAATAAAATATGTAGCATGGCACAAGATATATTGTTTAGAAAAGAAGTGTAAAATATAATCGTGTCACGGAGAATTACTTTTTTGGAGAGTACACCCACAATCCATTTCAACTATATAAGTAAAATCTTAAGCAGGAATAAAGAACCAATTGGCAAAATTTCTGAAAAACCTGGGTAATACCAAAATATGAAGCATCTTGAAAACAAGCACAGGGCTTGGATGGAAAAGACCTAAACTTGGGACTGGATTTAAACTCCAAACCTGACAGAATACAAACACTGTGAGCTTCAAAAAAAAATGGATCTAGATTTCCAACTTTGAGGTCTCCACATGTTCTGTCTGTTATAAAGGTGATGGAACCAGGACAGTCAGATCAGGACTACACAGGACTTTAGGTCACTTTCATGCTCCTCGAGATGGTCAGGCTATTTCTTTGCATAAATTAGAGCAGCTGGCTGCAGTTACCTCCAAAAAGCTGTTCTGGCAATGGGGATTGCTGGGACTTAGCATCATCTTTTGTCTGCGCTGACAGTGGTGAATTGTACAGGAGGGGATGCTCTAGTAGTGGTTGCATATCGCCTAAGCAGTCCTCTAAACTGAAGGAGCACCCTGGAGTAGTCCTTGTTTTTAGGGGCACACTGCTATTGCCTTTCTGGCTTTGTTTTTTGAGCTGCTCTGGGTGACCTGGGTTCTGCCTTGAATTTGCCATTTGAAGTTGTGGTTTGGGACCGTGCTTCTACGTTAGAACTGTTGTCATCATAGAAGGCATCCTTTACAGAGCTGCGTTACAATTTTTGAGTGCTACATAGAGTAACACAAGCAAGTTCCAATCAAAATCTCTTGACACTCATGACTTGAATCTCACTACCTTTCCTCCTCTGCCTAACTGGGAAACAGACTCCCTGCTTCCAACTTCCATCTGGCAGCATCCCAGTCCCACAAGCAGAAGAGTATTTTCCTTCTTCACCTGTGTGTTTGTCTGTGACCTCCAGTAACTCTTACTTTCCATGCTGCATGAACTGAAAACCCAGTTAAGTAGATGGACAAAACACAACTTTCTAAAAGAGCAGAGATATGATAGAGAATTGTATCTCCACAATCTCATTCCCCAAATCAGATACACCAAGCACAGGGATTGGGAAACAGCACCCTGAGGGTTGGGTCACATGTGTATAGAGGGAAGGGTCTCAGGGCACATCTACACATGTGTTTTTACATGCATTAGCCTGTTTTAATGCACATGAAAGCACCACAAAAAGTACACTTTCACTTTCATGTCTGTAGCACCACATATCACACATTCAGCTGTTCTCCACACTGCAAGGTAGCAGTGTGCGCGGTGGGGAGGGTTGACCCCAGGATAGCCACGCTCAAAACTCTGTAGCAATAGGAAGTAATTGACTGAAAGAGAAGGATGGAGTAGAGAGAGTAATACTTGTTAGAATCAGGAATTTCATCAGTGGTGAAGAGTCCGATAGATAGCCAGTTAGAGGGATGGAAAGCATAAAGAAGAGTCAAACTAGAAATTATAAAAGGAAAATTATACCAAGTGGAGAACTCAATTTAATAGCTAAGTGTTCTAATTTTGTGTAATCTACTTATACTGAGGCTGGTAGGTGTCAGTTAGTGGCTACCTAGAGAAGGGAGTTGAGAGTTTGTTTACATATATTTAAGAAAGAATCATAAAAGTTCCACTTTTTAATTTGAATATTGTAATGAATACTCTTAATCACAAGTTGGGTAAACTGCTCGGTCAAAATATGCTGATTTTATTGCTGCCATCCCTATAATATAGCCCAGAGAAGAACAAAGTTAGGTGAGGGGAGTCAGGTTGCTTTTACATAGACCTGAACAGAGGCATTCATTTTTCCTGTGCCTTGGTACCCCATCTGTGAAATGAAGATAATGCTGCCTTCTAGCCACTCTTGATCTGTTTGGGAAGCTCTTTGAGACCAGGTGTGCATATACAGTGGGTCTCTAATCTCAATCAGAGCCCCAAATCTTAGTTATGCATAATATCAGTAATAGTTCTAATACCCCTTGTGCTCTGAGGAAGCTCTCCAAGTACTTTGTCTGATGAAGTTACTCCAGTAAACTCCATGACTCAGGGAGGCTCTTTCATAAGTCACCCAGTAAATGTTTTACTGTGTCTTAGCCAGGGAGTGACCAAACATGATCCTTTTTTTTTCCATTGCTTCCTCACTCACAGGTGTCCAAGTTGAGGGCGGGGGGGGGAGAGGCTCTTACCGAAGTCCACCCACCTGTCTTTGGTCTAGCTGCTTGCCTCAGTTTTCTTTATTCAGTCAGTCTCTAGTGGTTATTACCTTATCCAGAAGGTTTCCTCTCTCTCTCTCTCTCTCTCTCTGCTTTCTCTACTAAAACAGTCTTATCACTTTGGCCAGCTAGCTGAAGCCTGCCACGATATCTTGATGGAACATTCTGCACGCTCATGCTCTCGCCTGCCACAACTTGTCATTAAGGGAGACAAGAAACACCTGGACATGTGGCTTCTGATATTGTTGATCTTGGCATCTGCCTTAGTGTAATGAGGGCTCCACCAACCCCTACACCCTCGCCCGTTCCACGGGGTATTAATTTACAGTCTGCATAGTCAGCCTCAGAGCTGGCTAGACACTTAACGTCTCTGGCTCTGACAAATCAATTGCTACCTTGATCCTGGTTATCCTCCACCAGGCTTGGAGCAAACAAGGACCTGACCTGTATTTTACCAGTTTTTCTGACCTATTGTCTGGATAGTTGCACCTCACTATCCTGCTGTATCTGGGAGGGATAAAGAAAAAAAGAAAAAATCCAAACTTTGACTTCTTCCTGCCCTTATAGTCCAGTCTCTACGGTACCTCTTCTTAGACCTGCTATTAGGGTCTTTCCGGGCTGCCATGCAGCAGTTTCAGGTTACCTGAGAGCTGCTTGTTTGGGTTTTCTTCTCTGTCAGCTCCCTCAACAGAGATGTCTCTGAAAACCCTTCCTGATCACTCCGTGTGTGCCTTCAGTTGTCCCTGCCACCCCTCTGGCTGAGTCAGGAACTTCCAGTTCTGGGCGTGTCTCTCTTGTGTGCTCCGGGTCCCTTTTTATATTGGAACTCATGTTTCCTCTGCCTCCACTCTGAAGACACAGGGAGAAGAAAGATCCCTGCAAGGCTCTTTGCAGCCTCAGGGCTGGGGCGGCTGCTTGCAAATCTGGTGAGTTAATCTTTCCCCCACGGTGGCTCTTCTCTTTCCTTATAGCAGGGCACATGGCTCTTTGTGAACTCTAGGGGTTAATGGTCCTATCAGATTGATAGTTCTGGAAGCATCCTCTATGTTACCAGTGGCTTTGGGATGATTTTAAATGTTTCTCTCTTTCCTTACAGGTTTGGATATATCAGCTGGGCCTGGCTTGCACTGTGCCATCTGTCTTCCTCTCTACGGCAGGTGCTGATAGAATGAACACACTGAGGCGTGAGCACAAAAGAGCTGAACCCCACATCTAGTAGTCATGCTCCAGAAAAGACTGTGGTACTTTCGCAGGTGGTGCCGTTGTTCTAACCCCCTTGTCCAGCTCCTCACATTGACTGTGGTGACATTTGGTGTGCTGGCTCCTTTGGCTTGTCATCGGCTGATCCATTCCTATTTCTTTTTACGACGCTGGCACCTGAACCCCGTGAGCCAGGAATTCCTGAAGCAGAACCAGGAGGAGGGTCAAGCTGCCCTCCATTACTTTGAGGCCCTGCAGGCTCCAAATTCCTCAGAGATTTCAGGTGCCGAGCCCCTCAGGCCACGCCTGCTGGTCACCATCATCACTGTGCAGAGACGGAATGAATACCATTACGTCCTGCAAGTGGCATCCCACTTCCACCGCCTCCTCCAGAAGTGCGGGTCTGGCTGCCAGAACTACCGGATCTTCCTCTGTAATGTGGATATGGACCCCAGCAGCCACCAGGATGTCCAGCTGCTGAGCAACTTCTTCACCACAGTCAACCGCTACAGAAATGGGGAGGACCCTGAGGCCTCAGTAAACCAATTTGAAAAGGAGAAGCGGGACTATGCCTTCTGCCTGGAGCAGTCATTGCTGGCCTACAAACCAGAATATGTCCTTCTGGTGGAAGATGATGCTGTTCCAGAGGAGGATATATTCCCTGTCCTGCAGCACCTCCTGCTGGTACGACTCCCAAAGCCACACCTCAGAGATGCTCTCTACTTGAAACTTTACCACCCTGAGAGACTTCAGCACTACATCAACCCAGAGCCCATGAGGATCCTGGAGTGGTTTGGGATGGGCATGCTTCTCGGTCCCCTGCTGAGCTCCATGTACTCCTGGGCATTTGGCCGCCCAGCTGTTAGCTGGCTCATTATCTTCTTTTTTTTCTTGTACACTATGGCATTGGCTGAGTTGGTGGGGCGCCACTATCTGCTAGAGCTGCGCCGGCTATCTCCTGCCCTCTACAACCTAGTGCCTGTCACTGAGTGCTGCACGCCAGCCATGCTGTTCTCTGCCCCATCTGCCCATCGTGCCTTACGCTACCTGAAGGAACTGTACTGCCACCAGGGCTTTGCCAAGGACATTGCTCTCTACTCCCTGCTGCGCCCCCAGGGTGAGAGGGCCTATGTAGTGGAGCCAAACTTGGTCAGACACGTGGGGATGTTTTCCAGCCTTAGGCTAAATAACAACCCAAAGCTGCTGTGACCCACTGAAAAATGCCTTTAAGGCTGCAGCCCACACAAAGCCTTGTTATTTGCCAGAGATACTATATGTGATGCTGGCTTTTGTGCCAGTTACAAGAGTACTCACAACTACCTGTGCCTCCTTCTGGAAGGAAAGTATTTTCTTTTTTAAGAAAGTTTACTTAAATATAAACAAATCTATTTAAACTTTTCAATGGTTACCTTAGAATTGAGAGGAAGGAAGGGAAAGGCTCTCAGGGAAAGCGTGGATAGTTTTGCTCCTCTCTAGGACCTCATCCAGCCCATTAAAACACCACACCCTCCTCATTCATACCTCCAAAGGTGGTGTGAATGTCTGCTTCACACATGAGAGAGAGCAGATTCTCCACATAGGCCTTTATCCTTCAACTGGAGGAGCCCAGGGGAGCTTGGTCATTAATTTAAGTGGGGGAAAACCCATAAAACTGGGCTTTGATGTGCTGCCACCTGTTTTCCTTTGGCATGGATTTTACATGCTGGTCCAGTTTGCTTCAGTGGGAGGCTCCAGCATGATCATGCTTTGATGCCTCATTCCATGGCAAGAGAAGTAAAGGAAAGATGCAGCAGGGCATCACTGCACCATTATTTAGTCTCATGGTGCAGTTAGATATAGGTAACAGCCGCAGCTGAGAGATCCAGGAACAGCTGGGTGCAGTCATAAGAGCAAACTTCCACAATGCATCACATTTAAAGGGCCAAAATTGAATTGACTTGTTAATTTGCTGTAATATGCTGATCCACCCAATGGTGAGGGGGTGGATGGTTGCCAGAAGCCAGCTGCTTTCTAGCAGAGCTGTGCATTATATATTCAATTAAGAACAAAAAACACACTAGAATTAGGATCCTGGAGATTGGTTAGTAATCCAGACTGGTTACAGAGGATTTTGCACTAGCCTACCGCAAAGTCCACAAAAATTAATGGTGTCTTTTTATTGGACTTCATTGGACTTTACATCAGGGCTGTATGAGTAAACTTGGGTCCAGCTATGGATGGAATTTGGCTGAACTGTAGTATCATCTTGAAATTATGTGCAAAACCTCAATTTTCCTGATTTCCTCAGTGGGACATATTTTGGAGGGAGGAAGCAGAGAGGAATTCCAATGTAAGTTCTTTTTCTACTTTGTTTGAACCTGAAGCTTATAAACAAAAGAGACCGGGCATGAGCCAATATGGAATGAAACCAAGGAAAAACTGTACAGCTCCAGTTGCCAGCCCATGATGCTTATTTGATCTGTAATGTATAAGGATAACACAACTGGTCAGAGGAGGTCACTGTGGGTCCTGGCAGATGTTACATGTATGGTGCAACTAATGTGCTAATCACACCATAAATGAAAGCATGTCACACGTTCAGCCAGTTTATGATACCACAAAATGACAAACCAGCCACAAAGATGTTTTACGTGCAGATTGTCAGCAAGGGGACCAGAACAGCTGGAATTGGATTTGGGCTGTCCAGGGAGTTCTGCAAATGCCAGGTAGGCGGACTGACTCACCACACCTGGCACTAGCAGAGCCACGTGCCTGGCAGACTAATTCAGAGCTACACTGTGTGGCTTTCAACTGGCCACTGCACCTAGAGCCAGGGATTGGGATACTAGGTTCCACATGTGCCAGCAAATTTAAAGAGCACCATTGACTGCATCAGCACCACATGATTGGGATCCAATCCCTGATCACCACAATTGCATGTCCTGCAGTGCACAGGTGGCATGGCTAGATGCACAATTGTTGGGATCTGGGATCAGATTCCAGTGTACTATTAAACTAATTTCAGTCAGGGGCCTAGAACATGGAGCAATGCCAGCTCAGGCAAACATGCTTTTCAATAGAGGATGTATCAGAAACAAAGCAAACAAAAACAATATAAATACCATGTGAAAGTCCCAAAGATCCCATACAGTGATCATGCAGCCTCTACCCAGATGGATGGTAAAATCCTGTGTAACTCTGGAATTTGGATGTCATTGTAAGTATGTTTCACTAAGTGCCTGGATGTGCAGATAGTCAGACATATGACTATCTATGCTGCCTCAAGTCTTGAATATTTCATAAGTGGGGTGGTCTTGAATATTTCATAAGTGGGGTATTTTCTTCCTTGTACTGTATAAATCCAGAACACACTATTGTACTTTGAGGGTTTAATTCATGCTTGCACTTGCAAAGAAAACCCCACAGGGTATAAAAGTGCCAGATAATAAAAAGGAACCAAATGCCAATGCATAATTAATAAGTGTTATGTTGTAAGAAGCCACTGTTCATTTCACCACTGTGTTACTTTTTCTTCATTTCCGTTATGGGTGCAATGCAAGGCCAAATGAACGTTAGTTCAAACTCCTTAAACATGAAACAAAAATAAAAAGCCAAAGCTTGGCTGGATTGAAACATTTGGGGGCAGAGGAAGAACTGAAGAATTGGTCCGCTGTATTTTCCTTAATCCAATATGACTTTGAATTTATGATGTTACCCCCAGTACTTAGATTCTATACATGGAAAATGTATAAATGTGTTATAATTTCCCATGTCTAGAATCTAATTATTAGAGGGTCATTTTATTTTCATATCTCCCCCCCCTGCCCCCAGCCACTTGTCCTCCCTTGTCAATTCATATCTCCCACCCCTGCCCCCAGCCACTTGTCCTCCCTTGTCACCCCTTTGCTGGTGCTGCCTACCCAATTCACCCAAACTCTTGCCAGGTAGCAACAGTAGTGGCAGCTCCAGGTCAGAGCCAGAGCTGCATTAGCTCTCCAGCTGCTGAGCAGCCCACCCTCCCTCACCATGCTTTTTTCCCTCTGCACAACACGCTCTGTCAGGCTCCCAACCCCTGCACTGCATGATCTCCTCTGTGTCCCCTCCATACCATGTGCTGTCCGGACAACCCCCTGTGTGTCCCCTCCCTGCCCCATGCTCAGTTCTCATCTTATACCACAAGGTCTCTTCCCCGTGCTCGGTCCCCCCTGCACCATGCAGACTTCCCCAGGTGAGGGCTGGAGTCAGAAGAGCTGGAGCCACAGCAGTGCTAGCCCTGGCTGGTACTTGAATGCAAGACAGTTTCTTTACCCCCTTGTTGAATGAAGAAAAAAAAACCATTTTGGATACAAGTAAATAGGGTTTTATCTTGATATTCAAAAATTGACTGCAAACTAAGCTGACATTTTCCAAGTGATGCCTTGAGTCTAAAGAGGTTGAGAACCACTGGTCTAGGAGCTTATAGCTATTCGTTGTCAGTGAAAAATAAAGGAAAAAAATGCATGAGGAGGTAAGGAAAACAGAATCAAAAGGCACAGGGAATGAAAGCAAAGGTTTCATAAATCAAAGCAAAAAAGCAAAAGTTTAATAAATCAATCTTTTTTATAGAAAGTTTGCTCCCCCTAAAAGGTTATATTTTATGTATATAAAAAACTCTGTATCCAGACACATTACCAATGCACTGTCCAGTTCCGACACTCCTAATGGCAATATGATGACATTGTCCTCCCCTCCTTCAAAAGTATTGAAAGTCTGTGTCCTTCCTCCAAAATATGGAAGCGTGGAGACCAATGGTTCTCAACCTTTTTAGTCTTGGGGTACCCTTTGGAAAATGTTTTTTGACTACAGAAAAATAAGAGTGATTTTTCTGTTGCAAAGAACTCACAAAGACCACACATGGCAACATTCGTATTTGAAATCTCTGGGTTTATCTTGTGAATCATGTTTGCACACAGTACAACAGTGTGTGGCAACCTACACTACAAAGGATCTCAAGGCACCCCAGGGAGTTGTGGCACTCTAGTTGAGAATCACTGATGTATGGGGCTTAATTGGACAGTCTACAAGATTGACTTATACTCTGCTCAGATAGTTATAATTCAGTTGTATATAATTTATACAACCTGAAAGCAGCCCTTTAAAAAACTATTTGTGTTTCTATTTCCTTTAAACTTTAAAGTTAACTATTTGTGTTAACTATTTCCGCCCCTGCCAGGCAGACCTGGCTGCCATCTAGAGTCAGTTTCTCACCCCCACCCGCTTCTTAGGCAGCTGAAGCAGTGATAGTGCTCTGGACAGGGAGTAGAGGGGCAGGGCCAACCCTACTCCCTGAAGCAGACAGCCCAGCCCAGGGCTGCAAAGCATCTTGGGATGCTGGGGGACTGTGAGTTAACTTGAACCAGGAAAGGGTCTGGGACATAGGTTCCATAAACCGGCTTGACCCAAATCAGTTAAGTCTGATACTACATTGAACCAGGTTTGTCTCAAACCACTTTTGGCCATTTTGAAAGCGGTTTATGTGCACTGAACTTTTGTTCTGTTACAGGTTTAAACCAGTTTCTGATCATGTAAGCTGATTTGTGCGCAACTTCTGTCTCTAGCCAAAAGGTGATGAGGTTTGCAATGTATGATGGGGGGGGACTTTCCTGCGGCCTGGTCTTATGTTGGCCTCCCACCTGTCACTATGGGGCGTGACTTTGCAATTCCTACAAACAGATGGTAAATTCAAGAGACGGCCCATTACATGCCCCAGTGCTAGGGGCACTATTTGCAGCTCCGTTCCTCCCCTACACCATAGCCCATGCCTCGCAGATGGCATCCGGATTAGTATTGCTCCCTGGTCTGAGACTGGAGCAAACCCAATCCAAAGTTGGACTCCACTCACCCACGCATTCATACTACCTCCCCTCTCACTGGGGCCTCTAGCATACCGCCCATTATTTGGGCACACTCCCTCACCCTTGCTCCTCCTTGAGCAGCCCCCTTTGGGCCATCAGGCTTTGCTACTCACATACTGGTCTTGCCACACAGTCCTTCAGTTCCTGCAAGTTCCCCTACTCTACGTGGGTTAGCCTTGTGCCAAACCCTGGACTAGTTCTGCCCAAGGTCCTCACCGGGAACAACTTCTCATGGGGCTGGCCCTTGCACTTACCTTCAGGCTTACTCCCATTCAGCCCTATTCAGCACACCCCTAGAACTGTCCTTCAGGTGTACTCACACTTCAGCCCTACTCAGCCCCCTCACACGCCCCCTTCAAGCCTATTACTTCAAGCCTCCCAACACTCTACATACTACCCTCTCTGGGGTCTCTAGGATCTGCATCCCTGCTGGGCTCAGGCACCTACACATGGGCATACCTGGCCCCCACTACTCTCCTAGCTGCCTCCAAAAGCCACCCAAAGATCAGGGCTGGGGTTAAGGCACCCCTCCTCACCTTTCATCAGGGAGGTAACTGGCCTGGCATTTTCTGGGGACTCCCACACCACCAGGGGCCCCACCAGGCCACACATCTCCAACAGGGTGTAGTTTTAGGTCATACCCAGGACCAGGAGCCTCTAAACCATCCCCATAAGCTCCTGCCCTTACCTCCAAGGTTGTTCCTACTGTAGCTCAGCTAGGCAATATTTCTGCCTTGCTCACCAGCAATGGGCTGCTCAGTTTATATAGGCAGGCAGTGTTTTAAAATGGCTGCTGCAATCAAGCACCTGCTGGCTGCTTGATTCAACCCTTAAAGGGGCAGTGCCCTGCCACACAATGGTTGCTACTTCCTGCATAAGGCTGGACCTGTCTCCTGCACCCATGAACTTTATGCTTGCAGTTGATAGCTACAGTGTACATCTACACATGCACTTTACTGCGGAGCTGATTAATTAGCTCTACAGTAAAGCATCACTATCTACACATGCACCCTTATTAAGGTGCAGTAAATTAATTAACTCCACCATAGGATAGTACTGTCAGGGACACGTACTATCCTACAGCAGAGTAGTTACACTGAAATTACACTTATAGGCAGTGGCTGGGGCTAGCTACCATTCTGAACCAGAGGAGTAATCATTTCTTTCAGCACCAGAGGCAGAGGTGGAGGTGCAATTAGGCAGAGGTGGAGGAAAGGAAAGGAGAGGGGTGTAACCTGCCCAGCTTTCCTCACTTGAGTGCCAGATGTTACTGCTGTGGTTGCTGTTGCAGCAACATGGGCTTGAGCTATTGCCGCTGGGGAATAGCACAACAGCATGGGCTCCGCAGGGGACATTCCTACTGCCCCATTCCCTCTCCCTCTGCCCCAGGCACAGGCTGCCCCTCCTATGAAAAAAAATCTCCTGGGGGTGATGTCATTCCACCCCCTCTCCTCCCCTCCCCTCTTCTCTCTCCCAGATATACTACTGACCATTGGACTGTGCCTGCCTGGCTCCTATAGACGGATGGAGCAGGACTGCTCCTTCTCTGATAAAGACTGCTGGGGAGAGGGGGTCAAACTGGCACCACTTCTAAGTCAGCACCTGGGGGTGGTGCCCCTTTTGCCCTTCCCCCTGACCCAGTTACATTACTGCTCTAGTGCAGACCATGTTCCCTTAGATCCTACAAGCAATTTTATCTCGTGGCTCAGAGCAACATCCTTCAGTAAGTAGATAAACCTAATTACAGATGTAATGTCTGCCCACTTTAATCACTGAAAGGGTTGAATAAGCCACAGCTCTAAGGCAATGATTGTCAACCAGAGTACCATGGCAGCCTGGGATACCTTGAGACCTTTTCAAGAGTGCTGAAGACTGCCAAACTATGCTGGAATTACTAGGTGTGGAAATGTGATTCACCAGAGAAGCCTAGAGATTTCAAATAGGGATCCACAGTGTTTAAAACATTCTGACCAAAGAAATAATAGAAAATGAGTGTTGGAAGGGACCTTAGGAGGTCATCTAGTCCAACCCCTTGCTCAAAGCAGGACCATCACCAACTAGATCATCTCACCCAAGGCTTTGTCTAGCTGGGCCTTAAAAACCCCCAAGGATGGAGATTCCACCGCCTCTCTAGGTAACCTGTTCCAGTGCTTTACTCCCCTCCCAGTGAGAAAGTTTTTCCTAATATCTAAACTAAACTTCCCTTACTGCAACTTGAAACCATTGATCCTTGTTCAATTATCTGCCACCACTGAGAACACTCTAGCTGCATCCTCTTTGGAACCACCCTGCAGGTAGTTGAAGGCTGCTATTAAAGCCCCCCTCAGTCTTCTCTTCTCCAGACTAAACAAGCCGAGTTCCCTCAGCCTCTCCTCATCAGTAGGGATCTCTAGAATTCATGCTGGAAGTGCTCAGCACAGCACAGTGGCTTCTTTAATCCTGGAGTTTCCCCTGCATGCCCCTCCCTCCCCCCCAATTGGCAGAGGGGCCCCATTGCTCACCACTCACTGCCTGCACCTGATGACCAGGAGGTGAAAACTGCATTTTTAAATATGATGCAATTTTCACCTCCAGGCCATCAGGTGTGGGTGGCAAGCAATGGGGCCCCACTGCCAGTTAATGGTGGGGAATGTGCACAGGTGAAACTCCAAGATTAAAGCCGCTGTTCCATGCACTTCTGGCATGAATTCTGGAGATCCCTACTCATATCTCATGTGCCTCAGCCCCCTAGCCATTTTGTTGCCTTTCTCCAATTTGACCACATATTTTCTGTAGTGGGGGGAGGGGCAGGGAGGGGGAGCAAAACTGGATGCAGTACTCCAGGTGCGGCCTCACCAGTACCAAGTAGAGGGGAATAATAATTTACCCCAGTCTTCTGG